GATGTGTTGATAATTCCTCCTGGGCATCAGCCAGCCTTGGCACATGGAGCAGTCTTGGGAGGTCAGTGTTGATGCTTCTGATGAGCGTGGGAGGGCTCAGTTGAATGTTGCAGGCTGGTAATCAAGAGTGTAGCAATCTCTGTTTAGTTCTGGCTGGAGGCTTGCCCACAGCCCGTGTTTTTTGTCAAAGCCAGGGAGCACTGGCAGGATTGGGAGTGGTGCAGCTCCAGGTTAGGAACACCGTGCGTTGCAGGGCTGGGCTGGCGGTACCCGGGGTGCTGCCTCCCAGGGCGAAGCTGCCGAGAGCTGCGCGTGCTGCTGGCCACATGCCGTGCCGGCGCGGAGCTCGGTCCCTCAGCAGAGCGATGCTGTCAGCCTGGGGAGAAGGCTCACCTGGCGGAAGGCTCCCGTGCAGGGCTGACAGCAGCAAGAAGATTAACTCTTTCCAAAATGATTGCAGTGTTTCGCCTAGGAAAGTTCTTCTCTGCTCTTGCCCTGGACATGGCAGGAGCCTCAGTGAAGGCAGCCTGGTCAGGGCCGTGTTGCAGTGATGCCATTTTGCAGCTGCAGAGTGGTTCTCCTGAGCTGACAGGGGTGTCAAAGGAGGAACCGCGAAAGGGTGATCCAGGGATGAACAAACGTGCTGGTGTCTTCTGTGCAGCTGCAGTTCAAGCCATTAAAAAGGCATTGTGATGTGTGGGGGGAAGATAAGCTGAGAACAAGATTTATTTTAGTCTACTTCTCCAGGCTGAGTTTTAGATATGGTTTTGCATTGCACTGGAAGCGAAGAAATGTAACAGGCTTTTCCCACTCTCTGCATAATCTTTGCTCTTTAGTGTTTTCCCTCTGAGGATCTTACAAGGCTTCATAAAGTCTCGTAATGCTTCTCTGTGAGGCTGGTCCTCACGGTCCCACTGTGGAGGTGGAGGAGCTGGGGTGCGGAGGGGAACAGGCTTGCCTGGACTGTGGGGCAGAGCTGGCAATAAAATCTGGTAGTGCTGACTCTTGCCAGAAAGCATTCCCCGCTCTGCTGTTCAAGACAGTTTGTTCAGGACTTTCAGCGTTCGCTCCCTTAGCCACAAAAACCCCACAAAGTTGCTAGTTAACCAGGGCTTTCTCTTTTCTGTTGCATTACAGATGGCAATGGTGGCTTATACCGCGCTTTGGTGGATAATAAGATCTTGGACGACATGAAGCGGCGTGGAATCCAGTATGTCCATGTATACTGTGTGGATAATATCCTCGTGAAAATGGCAGATCCAGTCTTCATAGGCTTCTGTGTTTCCGAAGGGGCAGATTGCGGTGCCAAGGTGAGGCAGTGCTGGCGCGGGGCCATTTCCCCGCGGGGAGTTAAGGTCTGGGTGCGCTGGGAAGCGGCTGGCCAGGCTGAGCTGAGATGAACTGGGGTGTTCAGACTTTGTCCGACAGCGGCTCACTCCAGGCGGATCTGGGGGAGCTGCCTGCTGCCGGTGAGGCATTCGGAGTCCGTTCCTGCTGGTGTCCTCCTCCCCCCTCCCCAGTGTACTGCGAGAGCAGGGGCTGCAACTGCGCCGGAGGCTGCAGATGGGAATGGCTTCCCCTTCATGCCCTGCCCTTTCGACAGAGGCACTTGGGCTCTCTAGAAGCCGTATTGGACTGCATTGTGTTTTTTAAATGCCCTTTAAGTCTAATGGGTCCATTCCTGCATTCCTTATGCCCCACTGTGGAGCATGGGGAGAGCCAGACCAGCCTGGTTTTCTCAGCCTAACGCAGCAGGTGCCTGAGGAGAGATTTATATTGTTTTTATCAGTAACACTTGATGCAAATGGGGAGCTGAAGGCTTAATACCTGCAAACATTTTCCATTTAATGCCAGGTCCCAGTCCTTGATCAGGAAAGTGCCCCACAGTACGCTCATTTCTTGTAACTGGTTTGTCTCTGAGCAACTTGACGACTGAGCGGTTGAGTACTGGGTGTATGCCCAGTCATTGCGCAAAATGTGCCTCCAGGCTATTCTGTACACCCAGCTCTGCCCTGCCCGTGCTCCCGAGGTGCTGGAGGATCAGCATGCTGCTGTCCTTGTAGAATCACAGAATGTTCAGGGTTGGAAGGGAGGTCTGTGGGTCATCTAGTCCAACCCCCCTGCCGAAGCAGGGTCACCCAGAGCAGGCTGTGCAGAACCGCCTCCAGGCGGGTCTCGAATATCTCCAGAGAAGGATTGGTTCTGCATGAGAGTCGGGATGGTGCTGGGGTTTTCTGCCCCCTTGTCACGGCCCTCTGTCCTGTGGCTGCAGGTGGTGGAGAAGGCCTACGCGACAGAGCCGGTCGGTGTGGTGTGCTGCGTGGACGGGCTCTGCCAGGTGGTGGAATACAGCGAGATCAGCCTGGAGACTGCGCAGCAGCAGAGCCCCGATGGGGGACTGATGTACAGCGCTGGCAATATCTGCAACCATTTCTTCACAGTGGAGTTCCTGGAGACGGTGGCCCAGTAAGTTCCAGCAGTCCTGCTAGGCAGCTGGGCAGCCCAAGAATGCCTCCCAGAGGGGGTGTTCCTATGTCCCACACTGTGCTTTCAGTTGTGGGGACCTCCTGCTCTGCTCTTCCCCTCCTCTCTCCTCCAGACAGTTCAGAACAGCTGTGTCCCCTTTCTGACTGCCCCAGTGTGCTCTTCAGGCCTTACCCAGTGAAGAGGTTCCATGCTTTGCTGCAGCTAAACCCACCGAGATAGACCAGTGCACGAACCTTCCTGGGCCTGCGAGGGTGAGCAGCCGGTGGGCTGCAGTGTGGTCGGTGATGCAGCCCCACGCTGAGGATGTTCAGTGGGAATGTCGCCCATGCCATCCCTTGGGACAGCAGAGGTTGGGGGAGGACTCTGCACCATGGTGCTGGGAGATGGAGATGCCACGCTGGGCATTCAGCAAGCAGCCAGACGCCCTTCCTGAAGAGCTCCATCCACCCTTGTGTGAGGGATCTGCTCTGCTCCGTTGTCATCCCGGTCGGATAACAATTTGGGTTACCTTTTTTAGTCCCTGCCTGCCCTGTCAGCTGGGCGTGAGGCCAGCCCTCTCCCCCTGCTTTACCCTGCCGCGTCCCACCGGTGCGGGGAGAGCCGCTGGCCGGGTTGCTCTGCTCAGGGAAGGGCTTCCCGGACCTGGCTTGGATCCGTTTGGAGAGAGCAACACCCAGAACAGTGGAGAGATGACCAGAGCGGTAACAAGCCGTCTGCTTCCCAGAGGTGTACTACTTTTTTCTAAGTGGGCATGAAGTAAATGAACTTGTTTATTCTCCTTTTGCAGGGAATATGAGCCACAGCTGAGGCATCACGTAGCCATAAAGAAGGTGCCCTACATTGACGAGGAGGGAAATCTGGTAAAACCACTAAAACCGAACGGGATAAAGCTGGAGAAGTTTGTGTTTGATGTGTTCCAGTTCTCTAAGTTAGTGGCAGACGTGATATTTTTTTTTTTTCCTCCCCTTCTCAATGTTTGTTTCAATGACTGTAGGTTGTAACAGGCCTTGCCAGGGAGTGCGTGGTTTGTGGGTGGCTGGTTAGAAAGGCTGTCGGATCTCCACCAAGCTCCAACACCACAGGAACGCCACAGGCTCCGAGAGCTGCGGTCTCAGGGCGCTTGGCAGCAGCCCGGCTTGCTCTGCCCGTGCTCCCAGAACTGTTCGTTCTGCCGAGGATGTGTTGGCTGGCCCGGCCTCTGCCAGCCCTGTGAAAGAAAGCAAAAAAGGGAAATCGAGCACAAAGCCAACGTTTAGTGAAACCCATGTTGGAGTATTCAGACTTGCAAAAAAATGGGTCTTTCAGGATTGTGGCTTCCATGGCAACCGCAGCTCTGGTTCCGTTTTCGGTGCCTGTTAGGCCGGGGCTCAGCTCACCCTTTGTGCTTGGAAAGCAGGTTGCTTAAGCACCGCCGGGCCAAGTTACCGTTGCTGTGGGAACTGTCAGTGTTGACTTGCCAAGCTCTGAAACATAGCTGAGAGCGCTGCGCCGTAGTGTTAGCGCAGTCAGGGGTACTTTGTGCTTAGGGAACGTGGGATTTTAATAATTTAGGAATTTAGCATAAGCGGTCTTGCAAAACCTATTTTCCGCGGTCGCCATTTCAGCAGTAAAGGTTCTGTTTTAGGCTTAAATAAATGTCAAAAAGAAACCTCAGGCAAACTGAATTCTTTGTTTGGGGATAGTATTTTTCTTCTTAGAGGATTTACTTTAGGACAGAGCTCAAGGTTTGAACCTGTGTCTGTTTCCTGACGTGCCTTCAGTAAAGAAGTATCATTCCAAAGGCAAAACCAGTGTGATGGAAACAACGCCGAGTTCTGAGCTTTCAAAGGGCTCATTTGCAAGCGCTGATTCCTTGTGCATTTTTAATAATACCGCAAAAACAGCCCGGCAGCTGCTCTTCACACGTGAAATGCAGAAACTCTGCTGTGGGGTTTTTAAATTTGCATTTCTGGTAAACAGCTGTACTTCACATTCAGCTGTGAATCCTCCCATATTGCTTACTCATCCCTGGGAACGGGTGTCCTCGGTTGGTCCTTGCCTACCGACTCCCGAGCGGAGTGGCCGTTCCTTGGAGCAGGGCTGCGGCGCCCTGGAGCGAGCCGCCCAGCTCGGCACCGTGCCCGAGCCTCGGCCACCGCTGCGCCTTCGGGGGGAGGTCTGTGGAGCTGTGGCTTGTCCTCGCACCCGTGTGCAGCTCTGGAGGGTCGTGAGGCTGCTGTGAAGTTCCCAGAGAGACCGGGCTGCTTCTTGTGGTTTTCCATGACACAGCCCTGGTACTTCTTTGCTCTTTGGGTGGGAGGCGGGCTTTCCTTAGCTTGGCTGCCCCAGCATGCGTCACTGCTCCCTAAAATGTATATGAGCCTTTCCCCACAGAATCTGCTGTTGCATCAACAGGGCTGATAGGTAGCTTTGGTTTTCAGTATCGTTGTTTTCTCCCCTTTGCTGGCAGGAATTTTGTGGCATTTGAAGTTTTGAGGGAAGAGGAGTTCTCGCCGCTAAAAAGTGCAGACACAGCTGACAAAGACACTCCTACCACTGCTCGGCGAGCCCTCCTGGGCCAGCATTACCGCTGGGCTCTCCAGGCCGGGGCCAGATTTCTAGATGAAAATGGTTGCAGGATCCCGGAGAAACTCAGGTATGAACCTCTGTGACCTGCTCCGCAGCTTCTCTGCCTGCGGCTGCCCAGCCCTGCTAGCGGCACGTACTGTGCTCCGCAGAACCGGGCGCTGGTTTGATGGCAGGGTGACTCGGCAGGATTTTGGTTCAGCTGCTCTTTTCTGAACACGCAGAGGAGTAGTGTCCGTTACAACTCCGGCTCCACTGGGGAGTGGAGTGCTCCAGACAGTAATGCACAGTGCTCTGGGCTTTATCTCTGGCAGGGATTCCTGCCCTTGGGGTCATGAGCTAACTCTTCCTGTAGCAACAACCTTTGCCATCGTTCAGGATTTAGCCAGCCCAAGGAACTGTAATTTGTGATCCTGACCAGCTTGCCTGGATGTGGCCCCAGCGCTTAAAGCCCAGCAAGATTCTCAGGTGGGCCGAAGGGCCCGCTGTTACAGCGGTTCCCAGTTCAGAGACTTCCTGCATCCCACTGAACGGGAAGCTGCTTTTACTCCCCGGGGCTATTACTTCATCAACTCATGGTGTAATAAACGCATGAGCTGTTCATTTGACTTGGAAAGCACCTCTGGAAATGTGATGTTGTTATTTTGACGAGATATATTTGGGAGCTGCTAATTCCCTTTTATTTTCACACTTTGTGTTCAAATAATGTCTGGTGCATGTGACTATAACAAATGTCTTATCCTCCGGGATATCCTGTTCTTGCTGATCTTTCAAAGCAGATGCTCTGTTTCTTAAGCACAGCAAGAATTTAATCCTGTGTTCTCTTCACTAGTCTCTCAGGAACTGAAGATCCTCCGGCTGTGTGTGAGATTTCTCCATTAGTGTCTTACTTTGGAGAGGTGAGAATAATTGTCTGTGGAGGTCTTTTTAAGAGTGTGCAGGTATGCGTCTCATCTCCTTCCAAAGGTGGGATTTCTTTAGCCTGCGCTTGCTGAGAAATGGTAAGATCGAGGGAGCTAGGGCTTGGGCTCTGCCTTACATCCGTGGTTCCGCTATGGTTTACTCTTGAGCAGTTTGTTCACTCTCCATTTTAGCCATCTGTCAAATGAGATTTGCAGTGGGGCTGCACGGTTTCATTAAGACTCACAAATGCTTTGAGATCTTCTGAACGAAAAGCGCAGAATATTCCGATTACAGAATCCACGGGGTCGCTGTATGTGGCTGTATGCTGATCTGTGCCCCCCTCCCACAGTGAGTGCACACGGACTAAGAAGTGTGAGGTGTGCATGGGCTCTAGAGAAGCTGTGTCTGAGAACAGGTTTCTCAGGTTTGTCCCTCTGAAAGTCATTGGTCCTGGGAAAGCTGCTTCCGTGTGGTGGTGAGGAGCTTCCCCGCGTTGGACAGGCGGGATGAGGAGTAGGGGATTGCGGGAGGATCTTCGGGCACTCTGGGAAAGGGCATTCATAAAACTTCACGTCTTCGCTAGGTTTCTGCGTGCAAGTCGCGCACTCAGCGCAGTCAATGCAGTGTAGGAACGAAATGAAACCAAGGCAACTGGAGTGGCCTTTTCTTTGCTAGGATTATTCGAATGTGAGTTAAGGCCGCACCTTCCGTGCCTGCCCCTCCCCAGGCAGCGTGTTGCTGAGGTCCGTTGCTTTACGGCTGGTTGGTGCCTCTCCTTGGTGAACCCCTTGGGGCTGAAACGCTTTCCCTCGCTGTCACTGGGGAAACTGTTGCTGTTGTCTGTCCTTCCTGGGACCTCTTAGCTTTGGGTGGTCGGTCGTTCTTTGAGGACGTTACATAGACTTAAAAATAGTGCAGGTAACCAGCCTGATGGTTTACGACCTAACGGTGCTGTTCTCACCCGTTCTCAGGGTCTGGAGGCGTACATGAAGAACAAAGATTTCCCTTCTCCCTTTGTGCTCGATGAAACCAAAGCAGAAGTGCTAGGAAATTCTTGAAGAGGAGGGAGGCCTTTCTCCCTCAAAGCAGACATCTGTCTGTCGGATCCATTCTAAGAACTGACACGTCGCAAATGTCAGTATGAAGTGCATTAGAAGAAAAATGGCTTTGCAGTATCAAACCGATGCCAAATCCTTGCAGCAGCTGTGTTTGCAGACAAGCACGTGCTCGCCGGTTCTGTTTGGTAACTTTGAAGGCTGTGCCTTTTACCTCAGTCTGTTTTGTAGACTTGGATGTGAATGAAGATTAATACCTTCTGGGTACCAAACAGATTTTATGTGTCTTATTCACTGGGCATACGAATATATAAAGGAGCCAGTCAGGGCCAAATATATCAGCTTTGCATTCAGGAAGATTAAATCTCTTCAGTGCCTTGTTTAGGTATCTTTGTGCGGGTGGGGTTGGTTGGGGGGGGGTTGTTTTGTTTTTGTGTTTAAATTGTGTGCACAGCTGAAGAATCTGGCTGTTCCCTGAGCCTGCGCTGGTGAGAAGACTCGGCTCAGCAGCTGGATCCTCTGAGCGGATCACAGAGAGGAGCCTGCTGTTGGCAGGGATCCTGCTGTGCGTGAGCGTTGCTTGAGGCTTGGGCTCCAAAGCAGAGCAGGCTAGTTTGCGTGTCTAGGCTTGCTGGTGCCATGCCAAGAAAACATAAGTAAATATACAGCTTATACTGATTGCTCTTTACAGCTGTAGTTCCTTGGGTTTTTTAATTAAAAAAAAAAAAGAAAAAGATCATAAGAATTTTTTTCACAACAACCCTCTGCTCTTCCTGTCCATAATAAACATTTATTTTACTTTTCATTTTTCTGTGTAATGTATACTGTATCTGTCAAAGGGGACTCTTTAAAAGCACCTGAAAGTAGCAAGAGCAACAAATCCTGATGCGAGGATTTGATGCTTAACCAAAACCAAAAAAAGACTTAATCCCAGCGTAACCAGTGTACACAGTAAAACACCAGTCTCTGCTTCTGCAGTTTCTAGTCAGGTAGTTTTCCAGCACTCTTTGACTTGTGAAATAATTCTTTAGATGCCTTCCTTTACATTATGGTTAGTAATACATTTAAAAGCTAAGTGTCAGCTAATTAAGGATGCTAATTAGCAGAACGTGTGTAGCGTGTGAGCTCAGCCCTGGCCGAGGGATCCCGGGGCTGTTCCCGAGCAGCCCTGGGCCGCTGCCCTGGCAGGGCAGACCCTGCACCCAGCACACCCCGGTCGCTTCGCCCTGCGCGCCGGGCTGCGCTGTGCGTGGCACAGCTCCAGGAGCTGAATCCGGCCTTAAGGAGGGTGGTGAGGAAGGGCCTCGTCCGGAACATCGTTACTTCACGCGTCTGCTTCTACTGAGGAATTGCTGGTGCTATTTTATTAAGCGTAAATCTTTTAAATAACTTCTGGGGCTTTCTGTAATTCCTCATGTGAAGCTGTTTTCAGAATGTTGGGGAAATATAAAAATGGCTTTTAGAGTAAGAGTTGGTAAGTGGGCTCCTGCTTTCCAAAGAAAGCCTCACAGTGTCAGTGGCAGTGTTCAAATATAAAGTGTATCTGCATGCACATCACTAACGAGCCTTTTGCACGTGCAAACCAGCTAGTGACAGTTCTGATTACCTCACTTTGCATGGGCAGCCAGTGAATCCTGGGTTTAGTATAAATTAAGGATTTGTCCTTGACACTCAATTTTGTAATTTTTTCCGCCTGGTGTTTTGTGGGTCATTCCATTCCTGTCGGTCAGGTTCTACAGCTGAGAACAAGTTGTGTTGCATCTTTGTGAGTATTGCTTCAGGTACATGCTCATTTTACATTGCGCTGTGCTATAAAGAATATTTCTTTTGCTCTGTCTAAAGTGTTTTCTCTGTTGAAACTTCAGTTCCTGTGCGCTTTAACCATGTGTACACTGAGCTGCTGACACGGTGTTTTAGAGGTTGTTTTCAAGGAGAAGCTGAGTGAGAATGCTGAATGCCTTCTCTGTTGGGTTTTTTCCTATGACTCTGCACATTTTAAACTGGAACACAGAAAGAATTTTGAGAGTACTTAAAAAAAAAAATCTGTCCTGTATGTAACAAAGTACCTGTAGTATGCAGTAGGAAATGAAAAAAGCACCTGAGACAAAGGGAAGTCCCGTAGTACTCCAGAAATTTTTGGACACTGAAGAATTTTTATAATAAATATGTTACTGTGATTTCTGTGCGTCTGTCTGTGTTTCTTGTTCCTGAGGAAGAGACAGGCGGCGGCGGCGTCTCTGCGCTGATGGGTGTTGGCAGTGGCTGCCTGGGGGCGGCAGGGCCGGCGCCTCAGGCGTGCGGGGGGACGCGGGACGCGGCCGAGGGCCAGTCCCAAAGGGGTTTGGCACCGAGGGATGGGGTTTTGCATCAGAAGACTGTTCTTGCCTGCATCCCTGTTTATTTTATTCCCAAGCTTTGCACCTCAGTTTAGGGCGGGAGGGAGTTAGCTGTGGGTGGTGCGTGTTTTATTTAACGTGGAGCGGAGTGATCCGGATCTGAGTCAGGCTCTCACAGCTGTTGGGTAGGGAGCGAGCGCTCGCTGTGGGGCAGCTTCTGCTTGGCTGCCCCTCGCCAGGCACTTCGTAAACCGGGCTCCGCTGCTGGGACCAGCAGGAGGGGAAGTTCGTAATTTTAGTAATTTCTCACCAATGACAGATTGTCCTCTCTTTTGCGGGTTTTAGTGCTGAACCCAGCAAAAGTTGGAAGTAGATGTTCTTCCTTCCTCACCTCTTTCACCCCATGTTTCTCTCGTGGCACCCCTGTGAAGGCTGCTGGGGTTTTAAATGTGTTTTTTAAGCTGCACGAATCAGTAGTGTCCTGTGATAGGAAAATAAACGCTAAAGATGAACGCATGCGTCAGGCTTCTGTTAAATTGTTCCTCCGCTTGTCAATGCGGAGTGCTCATATCACAGAATCACAGAATGGTTGGGGTCAGAAGGGACCTCTGGGGATCCCCCAGCCCAGTCCCCTGCCCAAGCAGGGTCACCCAGAGCAGGCTGCACAGCACCGTGGCCAGGCGGGGCTGGAATATCTCCAGAGAAGGAGACTCCACAGCCTCCCTGGGCAGCCTGGGCCAGGGCTCCGTCACCCTCAGAGGGAAGAAGTTCTTCCTCGGGTTCAGCTGGAGCTTCCTCTGCTTCAGTTTGTGCCCATTGCCCCTTGTCCTGTCGCTGGGCACCACTGGAAAGAGTCTGGCCCCGTCCTCCTGACCCCCACCCTGCAGATATTTCGAGGCATTTCTAAGGTCCCCTCTCAGCCTTCTCTTCAGGCAGAAATATCTACCAGAGTTGTTCGCTTCCTTGTTTTTTTTAATCATGAAATGCTCAGAAAAACACCCACTTTTTTTTCTGTTTTATCTGGAAACCTAGCGTGAGGTAGCTTGCAGATTCAGCGGCTCGGAGGACGCGTGCTAGCTGGGCAGGTCGGCACGGCTGCAGGATTCAGTGCCAGCACTTGAAGCCGTCGGGCCCGGCTGCTCAGGCGCTTTCCCGTCGGGCCGTGAGCCTTGGTGTACCTCTAAATGAGGCACATCTTGCCATGTCTGAAGAAAACTGGTACCTGCACCATAGTACAGGCATGTGGACGTGTTCAGGATTAATTTAGAGGTTCTGGTGCTATGTTTTGAGTGCTCGTCAATGGTTTTGATGCTATTTTGCAAAACAGCATCATCTTCTGCTATATTTGGCCTGCTGTTTTGGAGAGTGGGTTGCACTATTTTGAATTGTCATGTGTCCTCTGTGGCCTTAGGAAATACTGCAGGGTGGTTTAAAGTCTGGAGTAACCGCCTTGCTTTGCATCAAGGGGCGTAATTTTGCTTGAACAGGCTCTTACAATTCTCCACAAAAGTGGATTACTCGGATCTATTTCTCCCTGTTTTACTGCGGGCAATGTTTAGGATTTTTGGTTTATAAAAACCGTCGGATGCCTTTTTGGAAAGTGTGCCCAGAAACCATGTTTAGCTGTAGTATAATGTTCGAGTCAGTTGATGACGTTCATTGGCCTTTCTTGTACAGAAGTGAAACTAGATGATTTAATGGTCCCTTTGGTTTTTAAAATGTACGTGGTTTTTTTCGTGATGTAAAAAGCTTCTAAATTGAGGGCAGAGGTTAGCTTGCCAAATACATAGCAGCTGTTCACCCTAATTTGGAAGGAGACACTGCTAGAGGTCCTGAAACAGAAAGGCTGGGAAGCTGAAATGCTTTTGCATAATAATATCTTTCTGCCTTTTAATACAGATGTTTGCATTCATGCCTCCTATTCTGGGAGTCTGGCCAAGTTTCTGCGTAGAGGAACTGCACGCAGTTCCTGGTCCTGTCCTTCACCCCAGCGTCATCCCAGAACAGGTACAGCTGGAGATTAATTTCCTTGCTGGAATTTCCAATCTGTTTATTAATAAATCAGACTGTGCTCTGTTTCAGACACACGGTTGGGTTTTGCATTAAAGGGGTAGATAGAGCATATTTCCCTACGGGGCAATTGCTCTTTGTAGTTTGCAAGCTAGTCCCATTAAATTAAAAAAGCCACCACAAACTGAAACTCAGCAGCTTTCTTGCAGTGGGTGGGTTATTGCAGCGACGCTCGTTCAGGGGATTGAATCTGATGGTTGTGGCTGTGCCTTCCTCCCCCTTTACCGGGAAAAGGCTGTAGCAGTTCAGCAGATTTTTTCTTTTGATTCCTGGCTCTTCAGCGGCTGAAGCTCAAGAGCATCGCCAAAGACTGAGACATATTGGAGACATAAATAGGAGGAGTTGGCAGCAAAATCTCTCCTCTGCTCTTAGCATATGTGAATGAGCAGCTAGGCCAAACAGAGCACATTTAATTCTCCTGAACTTTTTCTGGTAATGCCTCCTCTGAAACACCTTCAGGTCTCAGAAACGATGCGGTCATCGCCAGTCCCACCAGACTTCTCGCAATGCTTTCCCTTGTGCTGCTTGTGTGGTGGAGCCAAGCAAAAACCCCTCCAGAATACGCATACAGATGGCCAGATCCTGACCTGCAGTTGAAGGCCAGACTCCTCCTCTTTGAAAAAAGACTGGCTGGAGCTGGAAAGCTCATAGTAAGGACTAGGGAGCACAGATGGGTTACGATGATGTTTTTGGGGTTGTTTCTTCAAGCTTCTCTTGATGGACATTGAGCAAACACCCGGAGTGGTTGCCAGACCAGCTCTGCCTCTTGACCCAAAGGCCTGTGTGCTTGGCCGGGTGTGTGTGTGCACGTGTAAAATCTTGATCCTAGGTGTTACAAATGTCAGAGCTTGGCTGTGGATGCTTCAGACTCATTTCTGCTGGACTTTGCTAGCAA